TGTGAGGGGAGTGTGTGTGGGGGGGGGGTGGTGAGGCGAGGGCCGCCCCGCCGACGGCCGCCTCTCTCCCGCAGTGTTTCGGAACCAGCTGCCGCGGCGGAACGACACCTACCCCGCCGAGCCGCCCCCCGAAGAGCCGCCCCCGGGCCTCGCCACCGCTGCTCCTCCGCTCCGGCTCGGCAGCGGTGCCGCTCTCTGCCGCGTCTGCGGCTGCCTGGGGCCCCGCGTCTGCGGGAGCTGCCGCCGCGCTGCCTACTGCGGCCCCCAGCACCAGGCGCTGGACTGGCGGCGGGGGCACCGGAGGTCCTGCGGGAAGCACGCCGCCGGAGGTGGGTCTCTTCGGGGGGGTAGATGTGTGTGTGTGGGGGGGGACCCGCTACGAGTGTGCCGTTGGGCTCCGTCGTTTGTGAGCTGCGGCGGTGGCGCGGTGCTCGCCGAGAAGGGTTGCGGTTGCGAAGCCGGCGGTCCTTTCGGCGTGCCCAGCTTGCACGTTCGTGGGGTAAGGGCCTGCAGAGGAGAGAAGAAAGGAGGTCGTGTCTTCTGCGTTGTACGACGTGCGAGGAAACGATCGGTTGGTTGTTCTTTCAGATTCTCAGCCGTTTACTTGATGTGACATAAGAACGTGGGATCTGTGTTGTTCCTGGAAGGCTAATAAATGTAAGGCGTGCCTTTGGTCCCTTCTCAAAGACCTCTTTCTGCATGCCTTATGTCATGAAAAGCTGAAAGGACGTAGACCAATTTTTCCCTTTTAAGATGGCTTATTTGTGAATTGTTAAGGAACAGACAAAGGTGACGCCTTCCCAGGATAGTGTGACGATCAGTGGGTGAAGAGAGTAGTTTCCATGAGCGTGCTATTTTAGAGACCCTTTCCTTAAACCGTCCCCTCTCCTGCTCTCTCGTCTCACTCATACACTTGTTTGCTGATGTTAAAGGGACAAGTACAAAGTATTTAAAGTATTTTTTTAATCTTCAGAAGTATCATATTAATAATGAGGCAATGAAACTTGGCGTGTGTGACGTATCTCACGTTGTACCTTGTGGGATGCTAGTCCTGAAAATTTTGTAGGAAGCGGAAATAAGCGGACCACAAGAAGTTGAATTGTGCAAATCAAGTTATGGCTCAGACATTTGAAACATTTAATTTAAACAAGGGAGACCTGAAATATGTACTAGCATGTAGTTAATACTGTCATTACAGAAGGTATATTTGATGCATTTGTGGAAACTTTGCCAACTCACAATACGCAATGGAAAAGTAAGAAAAATGGTACGGCCTCAGGGTGCCTGTTGCACGCTTGACTTGTGTGCCTATGCTAGCTAGAATGAGATACACACAGGGCTGTCGAGCCACAGGTTTTGGTTTTTAAAATGCAGCTGCAAACGCTGTTTAGTCTGTCTTCTGTGTCTCTTGGATTTACAGAGATTCAGAGCAACATGTCACCTATTGTAGCTTTCTACTGTCCTTAATATAAAATCTTTTTTACCTTTAAATCAGGCCTAGCAGCAATGTAAATTGTTCTCGCTCATGCAGTGTTTGTGCTGTATTTTCGCTATGTAGTTTGCTGTGTAGCTTTTGGGGAGAAGGACATAAAATACGAGATGACATTATGAAATGGTATCCGCTTTCTGTTTTGTAGATGATTCGGCAGATGCAATTCCAGAGCATAATGAATTCCTTTTTCCAGAATATGAAATTTTGATAGAACCTGAGGAACCAGAATTTCCTGCTGACAGCAGCATAGATCCCAGTGATGAACAAGGAGCTGCAGCTACATCAAAGGACCCGAAAGAACAAGGGGAACTCAAGAGCAGTGCAGGTAAGAAATAAGATGCTGTCTAATTCTTCCTAAAGAAGCCTGTATCACCTCTTTTAAAATATAAAATATTGTGATTTTTAAGTTCATTGTAAACTACTGGTGACAAAAGGCTAAATCTACAGTCATTTGTGATGCAAGTTTTTTGTAGACATCCCGTAATTTACGTTGCTTTTAGAGGAGAGAGACTTACTAAGCCCCAACTCCAGGAGCTGTTGAAGTGGCTGTTGCTGCAGTGAAGCTGCAGGTAGCTGGGAGTTACACCGTGTCCCCGTATGCTTCCCGCAGGGAAGGAACAACTCCAGTGAGAAAAACAGGGCCCTGAGCCCCTGCTGCTGGACGCTGTTGGAATCGGGAGATTTGATTTAGATGGTCTTGGCTTGACTTGGTTCACTTTGTCTTAATTTATGGAAGATACTTAAGAAAATCTCCTTGTCTGTGCTAGAAGAAAACTGTTCTGAGGCTATTTGAACTGACCTTGAATGAAGCAGCTGATGTGCAGGCCGCTTTCCCCCCGCACCCTTAAAATTCATGATGTGTTTGCAGCTCACCGCACTGGCTTTGCACCTGCCCAGGATGGAGAGTTTGTGGTAGTACAGGGGAAGGCTGCTGGGTTCCCAGCTGTCCCTTACTGGGGTCTAAAGCTGTCTCGAGACTGCTTGGTGCTCCACGTTGATGTGAATGTTGGAGTGTAAGAGACACACTCTTCAGTGCTAGAAACTGAAGTCTGGCACATGCACGGCATGGGTGGCCTTTTCCAGGTGTCACATTCTGAAGGCTGAGCAGTCTAAGCAATACCAGCTGGGAGCCATAAACTTTGGTAGATTAACTCCTTCCCTTTCCAGCATTCCAGTACTGACATCTATGTTTAAAATGCAAGTAAAACTAGTAAATGGATCTGTGTGTGACTGAATCTTAAGAGGTCACAAAAAAAGTCTCAGAGTGATTTACGGCAGGAATGATTCTTGAGAGCAAAATGCACTTACAGGTGCAGTATTGTTTTTAATTTTTGGCTGTCTTGCATTAGCCTGTAACCTTTGAGGTTTGGGGTTTTTTTCTTGCTTAGGTGAAGCATTTCAATCCTTAGATGAAGAGACACTGGAAGCAATGGCAAAACATGAGACTGAAGAAGACAAGATCTTCCAAATGTTTAAAGAACGAGTAGCTGCCGAACCAGAGCAGGTCAGAAGATGCGGCAGCCTTAGAACTTGCAGGTTCTGACACAGCATCCTGCTGCACCTGCAGAATGTTTCACTGCCTTTTGTACCTACGGTTAGAAATGGCGATGGGGATGCCTCCTCGTCCTCCACACACCTTGACCAATATACCCTAATTTTACGTGCAGAACTTGACTCATGCTGAAGTAAGAATTTAGCACCTGCTCGTTTATCTCAAACAGAAACTGGTCAGGATAAGAAGGCACAGGGGTGCTTAAGCCAATGTCGTGGGGGGAGGACCTGCCATCCTGGGAAGTGGTTCTAACCAGAGGGGGTCGTGAACCATTGCACTCTTCCTTAGCCTTTGGCCCTGTTGGCTTTCCTTCTCAGAAGAACCAAAACTGCAGAGAAGAGCTCTGTCAATTGTCACTAGCTGCATGGGAGGCTGGTTTGGCTTTTTTTAAGGTTGAAGAAATTAGTGATGGCTTTAAAATTTCAACTATTTAAAATAGAACGGAACTATCCTCCCATGCTATTTCTTGCTAACACAAGAGGCTGAAGAAAGCCACATTGTCAAACAAAATCATGGTTCCTCGTTCCATTCAGAGGAAACACTGGCCTAAATCCATAAAAGTGGTGGAGGACGAAGAAATTCTCTCCATGTTTTACCTGGTAGCTGAGGGGTTAAGGTGCCCACCCAGGAAGTAGGAGATTTTAAGTCTGTTCCCTTCTTTGCTTGGGGTAGGTGCATCACCTCCCTCTATGACTGATCTGCTTAAGTGTCCTCTTGTTGATAATGCCTGATTTGCTGTATAAATGTTTAGGTAGTAACAGAACAACAAAGGATATGCATGTCTGAAAATACCTTCTTCTTGGATGTTAGGACAGTCCCCTTGCATTTAGATGTAGAACTGCAAACGGAACTGGGCTGCATTCCTGACTTTTCTGTATACTGTACTACGTGCTGATTATGAATCTGCTCTTCCTCCATCTCAAGACTAAAATACATGACTGAACATTTCTGGGTCCCTTAATTAGAGAAATACAAATCATTGCAGTTTATCCCTGGATCATTGAAAAAATACTGTTACGAATACTTGCATGATTCAAATAGTTAAGAAAACTTACATAAAGAACCTGTCTTAGTTGCAAATGCAGTATTCTAAATGATAGACTTTGCCATGGGTATTACTTAAAGGAACTGACCTTTTTCTGCAACATCTTACAGCTTTGTCTATGTCAGTAAATACCCATTTTATACCAAGGTGAAAAGATGGTTTTGAGAACTTCTGCTCTATTTCAGATTATTAGATACTGCAGAGGAGGAGAAGGCCCAATCTGGGTATCAAGTGAAAATATTCCTGATGAAAAAGATATCCCAAATTGTTCATGTGGTGCCAAAAGGATTTTTGAATTCCAGGTATGTAAATTCATTTAAAGGTAATATAGGTAACGTAGTTTAGAGTCTAAACAGGATCTAATTGTATAGGCGTTGGCTTGTTAATTAGAGCAAGGTAGTTGAAGTTACTACAAACTAACTATGCTAAATTGTACAGAGCCCTTATTTACTATCATAACTGCTTTTTTTCCTATTAAGACTTACACGTGTAGAGGGTAGGTTCCCATCTGATAATTCGCACCCTCCATAAAACGGTGCACTTGTGAATATGGAACCATCTCGTAAGTAATAGGAGTCTGGTATATTTTTAAAAAAAGCCTTCACGATGTCAACTGGAAATACATCTGGCTGGAAGTATTCAGTGGTAGAATTTTGAATGCTCGAAGCACATGTATGGTGAATACACTTAATGTCATGCAAAGGCAAAACATAGTTACAAAGGTAAATTTCACATGGAAGGAGGCCTATAAAAATCAGGCAACGCTTAGTCAAATAAAACATCTATAGATAAGTAGGGCCATGCCTTTGATTCCCTGTGCATCTACTATACTGCTTTGGAAATTCCAAATTTATTTTATTTGTGATGCTGTGTTACTTGGTAGCTTTGATTGGGATTTTGGTGTAAGAGAATGTAAATGAAGGCAGGACCCTTTTGGAAGAGACACAGGGAGAGGGCAGAGAGCTGTGGTTTGCCTCTAAACCTGAAACCTTTTGTTTTTCCTTGAAGATTATGCCACAGCTCCTGAACCACCTCCAAGTTGACAGCCTTGGAGAGAGCATTGACTGGGGAACGCTGGTGGTGTACACATGTGCTGACAACTGTGGTGGGGGAAATGAATACCTGGAAGAGTTCATATGGAAACAAGACTTCTCTGCAGGCTCTATTTAACTTCCATCAAGTTACTAAGTTGAGTCATCTAAATAGAATACTTGCCTTGTTTCAGTGCATCTCTGCACTGTGCAAACAGGTAATTGAACTAAAGTCGCTGGTAACTGTGCGTCTTGTAACAGTTGCAGAACTACTAAAAGCAGACCTTGACAGGCTCTCTCTTGTGCTCCACAGGGGCTTTTACTTCAACCTGGTAATGAAGCCAGATGCATTTGTTCAGTGAATTTCACTTCAAATCTCAATTCTGAATGTTTAAATAAAAATGAAGTATTTTTGGATTGGTGAAAGTATCTTTTGTTGGTGGCTGAACGTCAAGAACTTAGATTGTTGTCTGTCAGGATTTTCTTTGTGCTACTGAAAAATTAACATAAATTCCCAGAGAAAAGCAGACTACTGTATGATCACTTGAGTGCTTATGCTCAGGAGGCGTCCAGAAGCCATAGCTAAGACAAAACTACCTAGTCTTTCACTGTGGAATTTAAATCTGCTTCTCTTTCTCAAAAGGTACACTGAATCTAACTTGGCAGTTGTTACATGTTCTGATTGAGTGGGTATTCAAGATAAAACACTTAATTTTTGTGCATTTTATCTGACTTAAAACTATTAACTGAGTTAGCCTCATGCAGAAATAGTTTAACTATCTGGTGCAGAAGCAGTTTAAACAAAGCCAGCCATACCAGAACATGTTTGTCTTGTTACTTACTGCCTGCAGCAGCAGATTTTCAAGCTGAATTGTACCTGAAGTCTGCCATCTTTGGTGAAGTTTAAAAATAAGTAAGTGCCCTCTGCAGGGATTCTTCTACTATTTGATTGCCATATATCTGAGGCAAGAGAGAAGTGAAACCATAATGCTGAATTTACTGTGGTAGTTGCTTGGCTATAGCTACATTTGCAGAAAAGATAAGGCTTTTTTTTTTTTTTTTTAGTGTCTCAGTATAGCATTTACTTCAGCTACATATTCCCTCATCCTGCTTAAACCCTTCATGTTTGCTTACCAGTGATTCTGAAGGTGATTTTATGAAAGCCCTAGGCCTGCTGTTGGGCTTTTTATTAATTTAGATGTTGGAAATGCTCAAATGAGCAGGCAGGGAATGCTTTACGTATAAGCTGTTTTGTCATCACAGAACTTAATTTCTAAAAGGGTAGTTTTAAGTCTTGATACATGTCACAGAACAGCAAACAGTATCTTAAGTCAGTGTAATACAGCTTGACTGATTTTACTGAAAACCATCCCACAGATAATTAAGGCTCCAAGCTTTGCAGGTAAGTCGGTAATAGTTCAGGATCCTGCAAAAGCATGGATGGTCATAGTTACGTTCAAGAGCGCTTGGGACTGTTCACTAGCTGACAGCCCAGAGGCGTGTGGCACTGAAGGTGATGCAGTGTTTGGGTATCTTGAACTTAACCCTGGCAAAGCTCCATTGAACAGCAGTTTTCTGATAAGATCCATGAAACCAATTATTAAAACACCGGGAGAAACACTGGTGTATGCCCCTATGGGGGGAGTAGAGAACACTAAGAACTAAGGATTAAGGTCACTCAGGATTTGCAAATGGAGCAGTAGCAAAGCCAGCCAAAGCTTCATTTTGTCTGGAATGAAACACCAACTTGGTAAATAAAGAGACCATGGTTACATTTGGGTTAGTTTTAGATAAAAGCTGTTTGAAAGAACGTGCAAGTCATAGAAAGGAGGTTACTATTACTGGAAACTTACTGGAGAAAAAAAAAGTTTATTTTTAGTTCTCAGCCCATTAAGCTTCAAGCACAGTTCAGAGAGAAGATTATGTACATACTGACTCTAGTCGGAAGGGCTTTGACATTTTACAGGAACACTAATATAGTGAGACTGTCATAGTTGGTAAAATACAAAAGTAGTAATTTAAAGAAATTCTAGAAGCTAAGCAGGGATCTTTGTTCCAATTCACTCAAGTGTAGCTATTTAAGACTTGCATAAATCCCATCTGTTGAACATAAGGCAACACATACTTGAACACAAACTTCTTGAACCAGTCATCTCTTTTGCTTTAACATACTAGAAATATTCAAGCTAGATGTTGCCAAGGATATGACTGCTGGTAAGCAAGCCAGAGTGTTGTTAAGATTCTCTCAAAATGACAAGTCACTTACAGTAGTGCATGTGCTATTGAAAAAGTCCAGATTAAATTAAAAACAAGTTCTCAATGTATTTTCCTCTACCAGCTGGGTCATCTTAAAATTCATTAAGACAGTTCCCGTAATTGTATAAACAGGGTTTATTGTACATGTGGAGCTTAAGGAGGAAAGAGAAGGAAGGTATATATTATATATATATGTACAGTGAGCCATTTTCATTAATAAATTTATTCTGTCTTGCTTAATACTGGAAAGAGGGAATGTGTCTGGCACCAAAGAAATTTAAAATTGAAAAAATCTAAAAGCTTAAGTTCTGAAAATTATAAAAATCATGGTCTTATGGAAGGAAGTTAAAACATATATACATGGCAATTTAAGTGGTTTATACACTGAGTGACACCGTTGCATTTGTTTTTTAAACCAACTTACGGATTTTCTATTAGAACTGGCATTAAAACTATTTAAAAGCTAGAATATAAATAAAACTTGGAGGGACTGCTCCAGGAACAGCCCAGTAAAGCAACTCACAGTAACTCAGTAGACATAATCAAGAATACAGTTCCCCTTGAGCATCAGGGAAGTAGGCACTAACTGGGAAATAGTCCAAGTCCTGGTGTTGTAGTTTCACTGGAAGTCCATCTCTTGTTACTGCTGTGCCATACGCAATACTTTTTAAAATACACCCCTGATTTCTCTGAAAGATGTAGAAACTGTTACGTTGTCTTTCTGAATCCCTTTAAAATAGGATAGATGTTTTCAAATGCTTCGTAGATTTCTGCTCGTACTTTAGCACCTAGAAAAAGAGAGGGAATTAAATTAGTTTGTACCTTTTGCCAAATACATAATTTTAGCTTTTAGAATGTTTATTTGAATGTGACTCTATACAAAACCTATGCATATCCATAAATCCCTATTTTTACGATCTCTTTTTTTTTTTTTTTTAAATACACATTTCATATAGAGCATACATTGTCAGCCTTCTTACTGTTTATTTTGCTAACTGGTAAAACTTCTACTAGCACCTTCGTGCTTATGCTATACTTGCAAATAGGATTTTTTCCCTACATGATTTCTGCAGGAGACCCAACTACAAAGCACAGCCCCATAGGACATTTCTGCAGAAAATCCTAACTGGTGGCTTTTTTTGAGTGTGAACATCTTGGGGAGCAAGGTCTGGCAACGGAGAGCCGCTTGCCATACTGCAGGGACATGCTTGCTCTTTTGTCTGTGAGTCTTGTGGGTTTTTTCCTCCATAGTGAAGACAGCACGAGGGGAAAAGGAAGGGCGTAGGTGGAGTGCCTAAGGTTGAGGAGGTCATACAGCTCGGGTATCTCCCCTTCTTCAGCTGCTGTATCAAAGGAGAAGCTGTCAAAAGAACAGTTAGCTCAGTCACGCACAAACACTACCTGCACTCTTACAGCTTTTTGGGCACCTGCATACTTGATTAGGATTCATGATCATTGCTTGCATGGATTTAGCCCAACCTTTGGTGTGCATTCTCATCCACAGAATACTGTACTATCTCTTCTTTCTCAGTACTGTCACCTCCAAAGGAAAGTACCTAGCAGTTTACATACCTCTGGTATCATTGTGTGTTCTCTGTAATGCAGTCTAAATCTAACCTGTTGGAGTAAGATACTGTCTTCACTTACCAGTTAAAACCACTTTTCCAGAAACAAAAATAAGCAGAACAATTCTTGGCTTGATCATTCTGTAGATTAAGCCAGGAAACAATTCTGGCTCATAGCTGTAAGAGAAGAGAGTGACAGTTTAAATGTGGTTGCAGACACACGTTCCAGGCTTTCATCTGCAGGACTGCTGGAATGGGCAGAGCAGATGTAGGCTTCGCTGAAACTTGGAGAGGGTAGCAGAGAAGATCATTCTGATGGGTTCATATTGGGCAACCTCAGTTACACCCGAGGCAGCACAGCAATGGGAACAAAGATGCAGGTTTTCCCTCTGGTGCAAGGGAATAATCTAGAGGGATGTCACTCTCCAAGCTAGTCTATATGCAGCAAGAATGAAACATAAGCAAGCCTTTTTTTACCTGCTGAACTGCTGGTGTGTGAGTACCAGTCCTTCTAATCTGATGGGAAATTTCACATCACAGCTGCCCACCATGTTCTGAATTTTAAAATCCAAAAATTTTGCTGGAAAACCCAGTTTCTGAACAACTCTTGCATACTTCCTTGCTGCCAGTCTGGATTGCTCCTCACTGAAGTGAGAAAAGGATACTCGTATTATTTCCTTCATTAAGTATTACTTGAAGCAAATAGCATTAAACCACAAATATGTAACTGGGAAAAAAGTGTCTGTGTTGAGGGGAGGGGAAGGTCACATGCAAAATTTTTACATCCAAAATTAACAACTAGCACTGGTTTGCATGCTAATATTGGCAGTAGGATCCTGAACACCGTTAATGTTGTACCCACTGTTCGTGAGGCAGAAACTAGTAAATTATAAATCCACATATTTCACGCTCTTAAAATATTGACCCGAGTCCCTCTAATGGGATGTAAAAACTGTTACTTAAGTTTTCAGTGTAGAACAACTTCTAACTACTACTGCTAGAAAATGCATATTTCTATAAAAATCTGTACACTGCCAAAATTCTCTGCTTGATTCAGCCCAGGCATTCAAACCTGGGTTTAACACAACTGCACGGCTTTACACGCTGTTGCATAATTCGGTTTCCTTCAGCTTTGTAAACAGCTGAGAATCTGGTTGCTCCTGACACAGAGTAAGACAACTTGAACTTCAAGCGTCATCAGGCAGAGAAAGCGTTTCCTGTACAGCTCTATTCATTCATCTCGGCTCATTAGCTTATTCCTTCTGGATTCCTGACAGACTTCTTCAGAGCAGAATTTCTCTCCTGCTCACTGGAGTTAAGCTGATGTTTAGTTTTCAATTCTTATGCTTCAATGATCATGTTAAGAACAGATCAGACTATGGGGACCAGAGACTTGGAGCTCTTGGCCTGTGATGAATGAAACTATTCAAATATAAAATCGCTCTTCCTCTGCCACCACCCCTACAGTTTAAGCAGTTCCAGTGCATGGTCATTGAAATTTTTAAATTATTAGGGAAAAAAAAAAGATAACTGCAAAGCCAAAAAAGTGAATATAATAACCTCCGCAAACCAGTTTATCAGACTGATTTATCAGCTATGAAAGAGCTTCAGAAACAGAACTACCATTTCCCCTTTCGTAGGGAAGTCCTTTCAGTCATGAAAGGACATTTTGTGTAGAAACATCTATTAAGTCTATTTGAAATAATTGGGAAGCAAGCTTAGTTGTACCTGTACAACTTTGTCATATATATACGGATACTGTATACAAATAATCACACTTCCAAAACATCATGGTGCAAGAGAAAAGACAGCCTGAATTAGTTTGCTTGTAACGCCTAAACATACCTTTTCGCTCCTGTGCACACCATTTTTCCAGAGCTGAATATAAGTGCAGTAGTACGTGGCTCTCTTATTCTCATAATAACAGCAGCAAAACGCTGAAATGTGAATGTTGTGACCATTAGTGATGCATTGCTGTAATTGTTACGTTAAAACCAAATCTGCATAATCTAAGTAGCAAGTTACACTGTATTGCAAAGAAATACTAAGTTCAAACATACTTAATGGATCACTCAAAATTTACTTTGAAATGCTTGAATTGTAAGTAGCTTCAAACACACAGTGTGAGGTACAGTCAGGCAGAAGGATAGTTACCATTGCATTCCTATTTTACTAAGCTCATCTCTCATTACTGTATATACAACATATAAATAACGCTAACATTTGCAACACAGCAATAGAGACAATCTTAAATAAAAAATTTCCTCCACACGTCTTGAAATTTGTTTTAAGCAAGATGGAAGATTATCTATCTGCAAATATGTTATGATCGGTTTTGTTTCTGCATCTTAAAAAACTGAACAGTGTTAGAATACCAGCAAACAGAAAGCTGGAGATCAAAGTTCTGTGTAAACAGCAGTCGCCTCAACTACCGCAGTAGAACACAGCAGCCCGGTTAGCTCTAGCTTTTTATTCTAAGTACTGTAACATCTCTGCCTGTGTTTCCAAATATTCTTAAACTCTTTGAAGCAAGAGATTCTAGAAACTGATGTGGGCACGCACACACAAACCTCTGTTTGCCTGTTGTATTTAACTTGGACCAGCTCCCCATGCAGTCCCATAAAGCGTTCTGCTGACATAACCGAGGCGGTAGCGTGGGTTACCCAACAGCACGTTTGTCAAAATATGGCTTAAATAATACAGCCAAGCAACATCTTTCTTTGATAGATGAATGTACTGACTAAAAGTCAGGAGTGTGTTATGTAACCCTTCTTTCTCTCTGCTGTGGAAAACAGCATTTCATATTGATTATTCTAGCCTACAAGTTTTACACAGCCACCTACCCCTACCTTAAAAGTTGCCATGGCATGCTCAGATTTTTGCTGCACCAATATCTTACTCACATGCAATTACGTAACAGCATCACTGATGTAAACTTACAGTAACAGTTATTTATCACATATGTCTGCATGCTTGCTTTAATCTTTGAGAGCAGAGTTCAGGTAAACTGCAGCAAAATCCCAAATACTAAAACAAAAAAACCACATCCCAGGAAAACTGAAGCCTTCCCAAGGCGAGTCAATTCAACTACACAACATCTAAACTTTTATTAGAAATTGTGTCCAACTACTGTGGTTGCAAAGACAACATTTCTAAGAGGAGCCACCCGAAAGAAAAATGAAGCAACATCATTTTCTTGATTCAACACTCCGGGTCCTCTGCTGTTGTTCCAAGTTTCCCGAGCTAAACAAAAATCCCGCAGTTTAACAGACTGCTATTTAGAAGCAGCAGGCAACTTAGAAGTTAACATGCAAAAAAAAAAATCATTTTCACTTTGCTGTTCCACCAAACCTAGCCACCAGGAGCAAGGAGATGGCAGGAGTACTGGGGGACAACATAAAGGAACAGAGCTCAGAGGGGAAGCGAGACTGTAAGAAATGAGTGACTGCACTGCGACCCCAAGAATTCCAAGGGAACAGCCAGGCTGAGGAAGCCACAGTGTATACAGAACAACTATGGCTCTGGCAGGAGCCCAGGAGTTGAACTCTTCCTTCCTTTCTCCTTGTTGGGAGATAGGGGACAAGACCTCATCATCAGACATTTCACAGTAATATGAAAAAGGAACTTTCCGAGCACTACGAACAAACATGCCCACATGAATAGCAGCAGAGGCCAGCTCTACAACAAAAAACTTGGCCAGTGTATTACACTGTTGGTTAGGTTCTTCCTAAATGTGCTGTGTTCTTTCTAAATCTACCAAATTACAACCTGGTGTAAAACACAGCTACATCAGTATAAAAATGCTTTTTACTAATTTGACAGAATGTTTTAGGTTTATTAAAGATTTCTTTTTTAACTATAGTATAAAACTGCATCTATAGCAGGAAGGTTTTTCAATCTACTACAGCAAATGATATCCACAGCCTGTGCCTTTGACAGATCCGTTGTAGGATGAACTCTGATACATTTCTCTTACCTTGGGATTATATTCAGCATTTCGGGCACGAAGCGCAATAGTTTTTAGGTCAAGTTTGCAGCCAAGATTCACCGTGGACACAATATTCCTGAAGACAGTTCAGAGAAATACATTAAAAAGACAATAAAGAATTCATGTGTCTTCCTCATTTTTTTAACCAAGCTTGATTAATTTTTTTTTTATATTTTATTTTATTTTAAGTTGTTTCTCCAAGTGAGTCTGAATGACATCTTTCCTACTGACATGAGCACTGAGCAGTGTTTTGGCTCAGGAACCTCCTTTTGTAGGGCAGTAGCTCCTAAGGCGTGATTGCTGATTTCTCCTTATCTGCCAGCTATTATGAAAAGTGTCTCATGAGAAGAATCTTTATTTCAGTTTGGCAGGAAAAATTCTTGATGCTGAGAGCCCCCACCATGATTAGGGAAGCTGCTGGAAACAGGAGAAAATGAGGTAGTAATAGTACCACCTGAAATTTTCCTTGGTATGCCCTTCAAGGAGGAAGAAGAGATGCAGGACTAAGTGGGAATGACTCAGGAGGCAAACCCACTGCCAGGCAATAGGATAGCAGGTCTCTAGAAAGTTTAAGAAAAGTTCCTAGATGCGAAATTTCCTTGGAAACTTGTTTTCTGGGAAAACCCTGAAATCTAAAGGTCCTCAATGGGGAAAGAAAGAAATACAAGGAACACTCAGTGCAAAATTCACATTATCAACCATTTCTCTTTGGGCCTTCCATAAATTGCTGTAAAAGTCTCTGTAAAACTAAAGTTTAGTGAAAATACTTTCATACCTAAACCTAGAACTAGTCCTAAGTTTTCTTCCCTTATTACAAACTCAGCTGTAGCCATGAACTAGAAACAGGAACATGGAATATTTAGTACAACTTAGCTCTAGCTCCTAGACTAGCAACTAGTTTCTTTCTCTCTACCCTATTAATTCCCTTTCAGCTGTGATAGTTCCCATATTCTGCTTTAATATCTCACTAACAAAGTTCTACGCACAGTGAAGTGGAGCTGTTTGCTTTTCTGTGAACAGGACACAAGTATCCAGCAAATTACAAATGACAATATGTTTCCAGGTATACGTATTTTGAAACACCAGATTATCAACCCAGACTACTTTATAGTGAAAGCATGATGAACTCCCAAAGTGCATAGAGTTAAAAGTTACAATGGTGATAAATAAAGACATATATAACATCCTCCACCGGTATGCCTGAAAGATGTATGGTTGACAAATCGCTAAGAAACTGTTTATATTACTAAGTGGTTTAGTAATGAAGCTAAGCTAAAAATAAAAGCAAAAATGACTCATATTGCTAGAGGAGACTCATAAATTCTCAGGACTTCCCTTCCCACCAAAATGCAGTACCCAATTCTTTATGTGGCTTTGGTCCTAAGTCTTTAAAGGGCTATCTGAGAAAGGACATGCTGCACTAACACATGGGACACTCACTGTAGCTGTGGCACTATCCCAGAGCTCTCGGACGCCGGCGTTGCAGGAGTTATTGGAGTCATCGGAGTCATTGGAGAGGGGTACAGAGGTGTGGTTCCCGGTAAAGGGGCTGTGGTAAGAGTCTGTGAGTGGAAGAGCTGGGGAGTTTGACCAGATGTTCCCTGTGTCGCTTGCTGTGATGTAGATTGCTGCGCTGCTTGTTGCTGCTGCTGCTGCCGCTGCTGTTCCTCTAAGATGGACAGACTGTTGGTGCTCTGGACAGGCTGTGGTGTCAGTCCTGTGCCATATGGCATCATTGGGCTAAAAATTGGAATTCCTGGAGTCATTGCACCCTACAGAAGAAAGCATGAAACAGAAACCACAGATCCTGTTGACTCCATTTTGGTTTTAAGAGAAAAAGTTTTCAGGAGGAGTCTAAAAATAAATCAAAATAAATCGATCATACCAAACCTAAGGCATATAGTAGTAACTCGCTAAAAACAGAAAGCCCTTGGAAATGCAGTTCGTCTAGAGAATAAAGTATTGCTCTAGAGATGTCAGTTCTAGCATTGTTCGTCTCCAGCCAGTGATGCTGACATGCTTCTCAGGCTACCTTGCAAGCATGTCTCAACTTTGACCCACAACTTAATTTGCAATTGTTTGAACAAAGACTGTGCCCATCGTACCAAATGCATTCATAGCACAGCGACTGTCCATTATGTATGTTAAAGGGCAACCACCAAAATTAAATTAATATTTCCAACTTGTCAGTCATGTTTCGACTTGAAGGAAACCCATATATATGCAAGTTTCTTATACCTCTGGATATACAAACTGGTGGTTTTAAAATTCTGCTTTATACTAGTATTATTCAATACCCAGCAGAATTTTTCAGATCTGCAAACAAAATCCTGAAGTTACATGCAAGAAACGGAAAACACTTTCACAAAGAAATTCAGATGGTAGTTGCGTATCAAATAATTTGTTTTTACCTGAGGGGAGGCTAAGCCTTGAGCATAGGGTGGCAAGCTGTTGTTCTGATCCATGATTCCAGTTATTTCTTTGGTGAGGCCAGAAGTATTTCCTTCGATTAATTTAAATTAGCTTCAAATCCTAGAGGGTTTTTAACCCTTTAAAACATTCCAGCAAAGTAGCTTTTTAAGCCAAGCTGAAAGGTTAGGAAAACATCAGCTCCGGAGAAATGTGTATTATGAGTCTAAAATACTAATCAAAGCCTGAAAAGAGAAAAAGTAGCATCCTGAGAATACTACCTACACACAAACCCAAGAGCAAACCTATCAGCTCCCGAGTTAGATAAGAGACACCCACATACCAATACATATAAGAACATTCACACACACGCACGCACACAATCCATAAAAATAACCTTTTTCAGGCACACTACAGAAACTTTGCAGTCTGCTTCTGCTGAATTCCCTGGCAGGTAACCTGACTCACATGAGCAGGCCTCTGTCTAACTGAACCCTCCTGCACAAACAACTCAAGCTGTTAATGCTCATTCTACCCCAAGCTTTGCTTTAGCTGGAAAAGCACTGGTTTTTTAGAATTTAATTCTCCTAACTACTAACCAACAAGCTTACTGACATATTGCTTCTAAGTCTCTTCCTGGCAATTTTAAGGCTCGGGCTTCCCAAAATATTTTTTCTTCTATGGGAGAAGTATCACTGGTCAAATCTGAGCTAGGAAACCCTCTTCCATTCACATCCATAAAATAAAGCACCAACAGATTTAAAAAAAAAGACATGCACTTTATGAGAAAAAAAGAAATACGTGAAAGCCAATTTCAGGTACACAAGTTAAATGTATGCATGATTTCTTAATATTTTTTTAAAACTATACCACTGCTGCTGTGTTATGGAGATAAATGACAAGTGGAGAATTTAAATGTTATGCATTGATATCAAATATTCTTCCATTAATTTATAGTTTTCCTAACTAGACACCTATTGCCCAGAAATATTCAAGGTCATTTTTAGGCCAGAGGTAGACCACCTCAAAATTTGAAGAAAGCCTATTCAGCCTTTTTTTTTTTTTTTTAAGGTGTGAGAGCTCAGAATTACATTAATATTTACACTGCACCTGAAAAGGTATGCTTTTTTTTTCCCCATGACCATAAGACACGATCACCTTTACCCTCAATGAAGGTATCAAACACAGCATCCGGGTTTTACAGCCCAGAGACAGGGGTAAATCAGAAACCTAAACATGACCTTAGAAGAAATAAAGTCAACTAAATCCTGGACAGCCCAGCTGTTTAGCAAGAAGTCTAGATCCCAGGCAGGCCAGAACCCGCACTTAGGACAACACCTACGCAGAGTTCCATCTTGTAACCGCCTAGCCGTGCCTTGCTCGCATCTCCACTACTGACGCTGGGCAACCTTTCTGTCGAGGGAACATGAGTCTAGAGGCAAGAGACACCCTGGAGAAGGCCCCGACGCCCCCACCCCCACAAGCCCCCTT